TCTCTCTCTCTCTCTCTCTCTCTCTCTCTCTCTCTCTCCTTACCACAACATAACTGCAGATTCTACGGAGAGTCTAACAAAACCCCAGAGATTTCGAAATGCCATCCATGAAAACCCACTCCAAGCCCTTCCACAACTCCCACAAAAAATATAAACCAACTGAGCCACCACTATGAACCACCATGAGCCATTCAGCACCACTGCAGCTCCAACCATGCCCCAATTCAACTTGATCATCACCAACCAACTGAAGAAAGTGTGGAGCAATAGAGCAATACTGGCTATGACAGCCATAGACATCATCCTGCTCTGTGCTTGTAAGAATTTCTGAATAGGGAAATACACAGCATATGCAAAGAGTTGGGGTATCATGTATAGGGAAAATAATCCTGCTGCAGCAGCTATTCTGTGGTCTTGTCCAATGAGAATGAGGAATGGAGTGGCAAAGACATAGAATATGGAGAGTATGAGGGCAGTTGTGATGAGGATGACCCATGATCTTTGCATGTATATGCCTAGCATGTCCAATTGCCCAGCACCATAGGCTTGCCCACATAGTGTCTCTAGTGCACTTCCCATGCCAAGCTGCAAATGTTCAAATGTTTAATAGGGGTAGGAACATAAGAAGCCATTTTTGCAAGTATGATAGAGTTATCCTAGAGGTACCATGAAGAATTAATGTGCATGTGAACAAACACTTTGTAAGGCACAAAAGAGTTCCAAAAAATCAATACTATCTTTTCTTCCTTTTTTTTTTCTCTTTTTATTTTTATTTTTTAATTTTGTGGTAGTCGGTCCATAAAACCAAAGTATTACCACTAACTACATGCATTTAAATCATCATTATCATCGTCCCAGTCCTATCACAATTATTTGGGGTTAGTTACACAAATCTAGTTCTGTTGTTCTACTCTATCAAGGATCAACCTTTCAGTCAAGCTATAAGTCATCATATCTCTTTTCACTACTTCCAACTACACCTTTTTAGACATTCCCAATTTTCTTTTTGATCCTTTCACTTGAACTAAATTGCATCTCCTAACCCATGCATTTAAATATGGTCAAAAACATTACATGCTCATATGAGCTTCTCTTACTTTCACTCGCATGAGCAAACCTATTTTGGAATATTTAGGACCCAGATTATGAAAAGTAAGCTTTTCAACTTAATGAACAACCCTTAAGAAAAAAATAAAAAATAAAATAAAAAACAAACCGATGTATATTCCACTTTTCTAAATTTTTTCTATGGGAAAGTCACCCAAGAAAACAAAAACGTTCATGTCTCCATACAATTAATAGCATTTTATGAGAAAGAAAAAAAGAAACAAGTTCAACTCTTTATTATAATGTATCTTATAACAAGTTATTTGGACCATCCATTTTTAAGATTTTTCTAGTGTTTATAGATCGGCTTCATCTTTATTTTTATTTGATATCCTTGATCTCCACTGCCCATAGAATGAATGTAGCTAAGATAAAGATGTAAAGATAGATGAGTGGTACAACAAAAGGGGATAGAATTCGAAATGAATACATTTAGGAAAATTTAGGTGGGTCGCCAATAGGAAATAAGATAAGAGGAAGTAGACTTAGATGGGCTGGTCATATGCAACGCAAACTCACCGCCCATAGAATGAATGTAGCTAAGATGAAGATGTTAATATAGATAAGTGGCACAACAAAAAGGAATAGAATTCGAAATAAATACATTCGAGAATATTTAGCTAAATTGAAGATGCTAAGATAGATGAGTAGCATAACAAA